GGGTAAATTGTCTGGTAGTTAGCGTCTGTATTAGCACCGACTGGAGAACCTGTAGTCTGATAGTCTACCTCTGCATCGATTAAATTAACTGTAGTCTGATAGTTAACGTCAACTTCAAGTGGCCCTTCGCCGCCGCCTGATACAGGCTCGGTCGTCCAAGAGTCGTCAACGAAGGGGCTGTAAGTAGTTCCTGCATCAGGAGCATTTTCTGGCGTTTCCGTTTCGGCAAATTGAAATACATCCGCTGACTTTACGTCGGGCGTGTCTGATGGGCTATGGCGCGCTGGAAAACAGATAATGCCATTTTAGAGGATTTAAGACGCAATTAATACCGTTATTAAATTAACCTATTATGTTTTCAGTGTAAATGTGAGTAAATGTACATGTATTGTATAATCGTGCAATGATTAGTTACTCAGTAAGTAAGTGCATGTATAAACTAATGGGAATATTGATTAAAGTCACAAAATGCAAACACGGGAACATGAGAAAATAATCATCGCAAAATCATAACAGGAAGAAAGAAAATAGACCAGGGGTACCAGCCTAGGGATCGTGGGCCCCGGGGTCAATGGGACACTTTCTGGGGGCCCACGGTGGAGTGTGAAAATTATGCACCTGCTGATATTTATCATTTAAATATCAATGAATTGGAATCTTCCCATATGGTGCTCTTGTCGTAAGTTTACCAGGCAATGACCGGGACCAAGGAGATTATTATATATTGACCGGGGGCCACTGCACTAGATTCACTCGCTCACTCACTCACATTCCCTCTCCCTCTCCCTCTGTCTCTCTCTCTCTCTCTCTCTCTCTCTCTCTCTCTCTCTCTCTCTCTCCTACTCTCTCCTCTCCCACTCCCTCTCTCTCTCTCTCTCTCTCTCTCTCTCTCTCTCCCTCCCTCCCTCCCTCTCCCTATCTCCCTTTCCCCCTATCTCCCTTTCTCCCCATCTCCCTTTCTCCCCATCTCCCTCTCTCTCCATCTCCCTTTCTCCCCATCTCCCTTTCTCCCCATCTCCCTTTCTCCCCATCTCCCTTTCTCCCCATCGCCCTTTCTCCCCATCTCCCATTCTCCCCATCTCCCTTTCTCCCTATCTCCCTCTCTCCCTTTCTCCCTATCTCCTTCCCTATCTACCACCCTCTCCCTCTCCTCGTCCATTTCTCCATCACTGAGGCAAATGTGGGAGAAGGATATATGTCAAGTGACCTGGATGACGCAAGACTGACACGAGGTAGTGTGTTAACTTTGTACCCTTCGAGGTGTGTGGATGTGTGTGGGGGGGGGGGTCATTGTGTTTATTATCTAATTCCTCTACACCATTTCCATGAACAAGGAATCAGTAGAACAGAGAATCAGCGGTTGGTTTCAAAAGTATTCCAATTTGTAGAAAATGAACCCCCAGTGAATCCTGGCAGGTTTGAAACCCGGTTTAAGTGATTTAGCCTACACCCCGGCAACATTCACTAAACAAAACCGTTATGTTGTGTCTCAAATATCCAGTGGAAAATGCATGATAATATGGAGTAACTCAATGCTTTTCATGAAGAAGGAAAACATAAGCAGGAAGGATTTTTTTACCTAAAAGTACCATTTTGATGAAATGTTAAAGTAGAAATCCAGGAACTGACGAACTGCATTCTTGGTAGCGAAACCGCGTTTGTTATTTGTTACACAACTCCTATCCGTCACTATGATAACTACTACATCCCCGCGTTTGAATAATGAATGAAACTCCAAATAAAAAAGTGTGTTGCTTTGTGTAGCTAGTGCAAATTCACCGAAAAGTACTCCTGCTGAGGAAGAATCGCCTCGGTCAACTGAGCGTGGGAACATGGCGCCGCGATGCCAGAGAGGTTATTTATAAAGTGCGAGATGGATTTTGTTCTCGTTACGTTTGAATGATAGGTTAGATGTTCCTGAAATGCTTATTTGATTTCTGTGCATGACTCGAAATTATTTCAGGGAGCGGCTGATTAATTACAAATAGAATATACGACGAAAACGTTGGAATCCAGTCATGCAATACTAGATAAAATTTGAGAAGGTACTTTTACAAGAATTGTTTATAGGATAAAGTAAATTAGTGTTGATATGGCAAAGTTTACTCAGTCAGGTGATGTTAATGTACATATCAATTTATGAAAACCATTATCCCTGCGGGTCACAGGTAATGTCTATGAGAGCAACGTTTGTAAGTGGCGTGGGGGGCGAGGTTGTTTACCTCTTCATAACTAAAGGTTTCTTTACCTATCTATCTGTCTATCTGCCTCCCCTCTGCTTTCTTTCACTCACTCTCACTCTCTCTCTCTCTCTCACTCTCACTCTCTCTCTCTCTCTCTCTCTCTCTCTCTCTCTCTCTCTCTCTCTCTCTAAACTATAACGTTAATAATTTTCGAACACACAGGACACACTATGCGTTTCAGGGGCCTTGATCCATCGTTTTTGGTACTGTAGTGCAATACCAGATATACTTATGATTACAGTGTTTACTGTTGACAT